GCCCCCCTACGCAAAGTCCTTAAGGATCGGCGTCCACCTCGCCAACGCGGTCGTATGGGAACCAGTGTAAATCGGCGCGGGACGACGGACGGACGACGCGGATCCCGGGCGGGGCGCGCTCGCTCGCGCGCCTCGCTCGCCCTCCTCCGCGCTCGCTCCGCGAACGCCGCGCGCCGCGTCGCCGAGACGCTCCTTCGCGAGGAGGGAGGGAGGGAGGGGAAGGGAACCCGCGCGGCGGGCGCGAGACTCGGAAGCGGTCGGAGGCGCGCACGCCGCGCCGATCGCGATGCGTGAGTGACGACGACGAGGAGGGTGTTGACGACGTGACGCGCGATGACGGCATTGCGCGGACGCGGCCGGGTGCCTACACAAGTTTCCTACTGTACGCGAGGGCCTACTTCCTCCCTCCGCCGCCGCCGCCGCCGCCGCCGCCGCCGCCCTTCTTCGCCGCCTTCTTCGCCGCCTTCTCCGCGGCCCTTCGCTGCTTCCGATCCCCGGGCCCGGGCGCGACCCCGGCGGGGGTGTGCTTCCCCGCGTGCGCGCACACCCACAGTTGCGAGATCCACTTCTCGTGCCCGGGCACTGTCGATCGGCAATGGCGGAGGCATCAGTAGGGATCGTTCGTCGGTCAGTTGAAGCGGGACGCGGTCGAGCGTTGAAAGGAAAGGACGGGTGAATGCTTTGATGAACGCAAAAATTCAGTGGAACCAAAAAAAACGCACCCGCTTCCACGGCGGTGTGTAACGTCCGCTGGTCCGGCATGGACGCCTTCGTCCCGGGGAAGAACAGGAGGCACCGTCCTTTCTTCGGTCGCACGTCTATGGGGCCGAGCTTCTCGAACCGCGTGCTGCCGCCCTCCTCCACGTCGTTCAGGTACACGAGCACTGTGGCTCTGCGTTGGTACCCTTTTTTTTGCGCGACGGCGTCTGACGGATTGGATCAATAACGGAAGCGGTCGATTTGATTGGTCGAGGGAAGACACGTGTCAGTCAAGAGTGCGTGTGATTCGTGGATATAATGTCCACGTGTCGAAACGTGAGGTTCACAGCGCGCGAAAGGAAAGAACGCCTTAGAGAAGAACGCGCGTTCGTTCACCCCGCGAGGGAATCGCGCGCGCGGGAACGAATCAGTCTAGTAGTCTCGCACCCGGAAACGCGTCCTCGTGCGTTTTGAAATACTCCCCGCCCTCGTAGTGCGCCACCTGCGGCAGCTCGAACGAGTACGGCGACGCGCTCGTGGGGGTCTTGAACGCGCCCTTGCTACCGCTGAGGCCGCGAAGATCGGGGAGGAGGCGCTCCGCGGCGGCGAGGATCGCGGCGCGCGTCGGGTGCTCCTTCAGCGCCTTCACGGCGCGTTTTGATTGGTCGAGGGAAGACACGTGTCAGTCGTTCGCGCGCGCGATTGGCTGGACGAGTGCACACGTGTCGAATACATCGTGCGTGTGGTGGTCGAGAGCGGGACCCAAAAGAAATCCTTAAGGAACGGCGTCCACGACGCGAACGGGGTCGTACGGGGACCAGTCATGAGAAATCGCACCGGCGTGTTGAGCGTCACCGTCTTGGACGTCCGGATGTTCGTCGTCGTCGCGCCGTCGCCGTCGACGCCGCCGACGGCGCTGACGCGCATCTCCCCGCTCGCCCTCGCCGCGTCCACGAGCGCGTCGCACTGCTCCGCGGTGAGAAAGTCCTCCACGACGCACACGGGCGGGTCCACGCACAGCACCTTGAGGTTCGGGACGTCGACGTTCACGCGCAGGAAATCGTGCGCGGTGAGTTCGCCGAAGCCTGCCGCCATCCCCGGCTGGTCCGCGAGGAGCATGCCGCCCGCCGCCGCGACTTCCGGCGGGACGGGCGTGACGGTCGCGCGGAGGTGCGCGGGCGCGACCGCGGGCGGCGAGGCGTCCGCGGGCGGCGCGGCGGACGCGACGACGACGGGCATGGGATCGCCGCGCCGTCGTCGCGAGGAAGGGAGGAAACCCTCCCGGCGGACGAGACGACGCGCGAGCGGGCGCGGCGTCGGCGCGACGGCGCGCGACGCCGCCGCCGCGCTCGACGCGATGACGACAGCCGACATGACGTCAGCCGACGACGACGGCAGAAGATGAAGCGAGGCGTCCTCCCGGCCGTGCCGTGGCCGCGCGCGAGGGTACAGTAAAAGCGGATAGGAAAAAGCGCGAATTACTTTTTGTTTGATTTACTTTTTTAAGGACAGCTTCAGCTTCAGCGCATCAACGCAACTCAACCTTAACTTAACACCCTCGCTCGCTCTTCTCCTCCTTCCATCACCACCACACGCGCGTCGCCGCTCACGTCAGTGGCATCTTCTGTATGACCGCCACGCCGAACCCGACGCCCAGAAACGTCGCGACCGCGTACCCCAACACCCCCGTCAGCATCGCCGGAACGACGAGGCTCCGCCACCCCTTCGCCGCCGCCATCGCCGCCGCCGTCGTCGGACCCCCGACGTTCGCGTTCGAAGCGATCAGCAGGTCGCACTTCCGCATCTTGAACACGTTCCCGCCGACGAGCAGAATGAACGTGAGGTGCGTGGAGACTTGCACGAGCGAGAGGAAGAAGAGCGCCGGCGCCGTGGCCATCATCTGACGCGAAAGGAGTCGAAAGGAGTCGGAGTCATTTCGGTTCGTCGAAAGGGGCGGAGTCGGTGAGTCGAAAGGCGTCGGAGGCGGAGTCGAAAGGCGACGCGCGGGTCGAGCGAGCGTCGTGACCGACCGTGGGGTGGGGCACGCGGAGAGAACCGACGGAGGGAAAGTCCTTAAGGATCAGCGTTCACCACGCGGACGGGGTCGTATGGGGACCAGTCAGCGTACCTGCGCCACGGACCCCGCAGCGCCGACGGTGACGAAGAAGCACTGCATCACCAGCGTCGCGAGGGCTTCGCCGCTGGGGGCTAACGCGCCGACGCGCTTCGGGAACATCGTCGCTAACGCCACGGTCATGAGCGTTATGATTGGTATCTGTAACCCCGTCCCGGGGAGCATCTTCGCCGCGTACGCCGCGAGCGCGCACACCACCGAGGCCAACGACAACGCGTACGACCCCTTCAAGACGGAAAACGACGACTGTTTCTCGGCGGCGAGGATGGGGTCGTCCCCGGCCTCGTCCTCCAACGACGTAACGGCCGACCCTTGCGCCGCGTTATCACTACTACTCGCTACTACGGCGTCCTCCTCCGGCGGTTTCGCCCCCGACGCGACGCGAAACAGCGCGGAGAAGTACAACGCGTTGCACAAGTTGTCCGCCGCTGAGGGTAATCGTCCGTACGAGCGATGACGTCGGGGCGGAGTTCATCAAAGGCGTCAGAAGCGGAGTTGAAAGGCGTCGAGGTGTGTCGGGATGATTGAAAGCGAGGGACCCTGGGCGGCGAAGAGAAACATGTGTACGCCGGGAGAGACTAAAGTCCTTAAGGATCGGCGTGCACCACGCCGACGCGGTCGTGTGGGGACCAGTGTGAGTGAAGAAGAGAACGGACGCGCCTAATCCCGCGGCGACCAGATCCGGCGCGATGTCCAACACCCCCGCGACGGCGACGTAGTTCACCGCGCCGCCGATGTGCCGCGCCATCAACGCTGCGGCCATCTTCCACGCGTCGTCGCCCAGCCCCGCCATGGGCACGATCGCGAACGCGAGCGCGCTTCCGATAGTCGTCCCAAGGGATCCGATAAAGAATCCGTATAAAACGCGTCCCGTCGCCGCGAACACGCGTCTCAGGGTCGAGGGTCCATACGAGCGATGATATCGGGGTGGAGTTCAAAGGCGTCAGAAGCGGAGTTGAAAGGCAACGCGGGCGGGTATTTTTGAAAGCGAGGGACCCTGGGCGGAGAGATGCGACGGGAGAGAAAGTCCTTAAGGATCGGCGTTCACCACGCCGACGCGGTCGTATGGGAACCAGTGTGATGAATCCAACGCACCGCATGTCCGCGGTGAGGAGCAGAAGCGGCACCGCGAGCGGGAGCAAAAACTTCGTGACGACGACGTACGGCGGCGCGGACGTGGGAATCACCCCGAGGTTCGACGCGAGGAGCGCCGCGAGCGTCGCGAGGAGCGGCGGACCGCCGATCGCGGCGCCCCATCGCTTTTTCCCGCCCCACAGTCCGAACGATCCTGAGGTGTCGTCGTTTGATTGGCGGACGACGTGGCGGGAAGTGATGTGATTGGTTAGATATGTGATGACGTGGACGAGAGCTGGGCGGAGAGATGCGCCGGGGTTAGAGAGAGTCCTTAAGGATCGGCGTTCACCACGCCGACGCGGTCGTACGGGGACCAGTGTGATGGATGAGGACGCGCCCGCACACAGCACCGCGGCCCAGACCCCCCACTGGTCCGTCGCCGCGATGAGGGGCCCGAAGCCGAGGAGCGAGCCCGCGACCGCGGGTGCGGCGGCGGCGGCGGCACGCGGTCGTACGGTGGACGCGCGCTGTGGACGACGGCGGCGGCGGAGGCGGCGGTCGTCGGCGACGATCGCGATGGGCCGCGACGACGGTTGGCCTCGATGGGAGGAAACCGATTCGATCGAAGACGTGGACGCGACGATCGGACAAGGATCTGTGCGCCTCGCCGGGCCTGGCGCGCGAGTGCGCGCGAGCCGCGACGCGTTTTTCGCGTCGCCTCCTCGCGCGAAGACGCTCGCGCGGAACGACGCGCTCGGGAGCGGCTTCGCGAGCATCGTGATGGGAGACGGCCGCCGCGCGCGGAGGAGAATGAATGGTCCGTTCGAAAAAGTGCAGCCTTCCGTCGGAGATCTCAGTGACTGGAAGTGCGCTTTTCCACGCGAAGAAATAATGCCGCGTCACCCTGCCGCCGTCGTCACTCTCCCTCCGCGACCGCCGCGACCGCCGCGACCGCCGCGACCGCGAACGACATGACGTCCGCGTACGCCTCCCCCGCGTCGTCGTTCGCGGACTCCATCGAGCGCGCGGCCGCGGGCGCGCGCTTCTCCTCCGTCGGACGCCAGCTCCTCGGCCCGCGACTGCCCGTCGCCATCGATTGGAACGACCCGCCGCCCGAGGTGCGTTCGCGTTCACACCGGTCCCCATACGACCGCGTCGGCGTGGTGAACGCCGATCCTCAAGGACTTTGCCCGGCGTCTCTCTCCGCCCAGGGTCCCTCGCGTTCGATCCCCGCCCTCGACGCCTTTCAACTCCGCTTCTGACGCCTTTGAACTCCACCCCGCCATCGCTTCGTATGGGCAATCACCCTCATCAGCTCTGGTACGTCGCGTACGTCGCGGGGAAGACGCTGCTGAACGTCGTCGAAGCGCACGGCGGCGTCCCGCGCGGCGTCCTCGGCGTCCTCGGCGTCAACGTGTACGTGTTCTGCAAGGTGCGAAGAACTACCGCGGCGATGCGACGGCGACGGCGACGGCGACGCGACCGACGAACGCGAGATCCCTCGTCGTCCAACATCATCGTAGACAGGACTATCTATCATCCGACGCGTCGTCCACGGATCGATCCATCGCTGATGACCCTCACTCCTCCTCCTCCTCCTCCTCCTCCTCTTCCCCCTCCTCCCCGTCCTCCTCCTCCTTCCGTCCAGCCCGGCGGCGTGCTGTTCGGGGACGTGTGCCTCAACCCGTACGCGGTCCTGCACATGAACCAGCTCGAGCGCGTCGTGACCTCCGCGTTCGTGCACAGAGACCTGTTCCATCTCCTTAACAACATGACGGGCCTAGGCGCGTTCTCTGTCTTCTCACACTGCACTGGTCCCCATACGACCGCGTCGGCGTCGTGAACTTCATTCCTTAAGGACTTTCTGTTACTTCCCGGCGCGCGTTTCTCTCCACCCAGGGTCCCTCGCTTTCAACTCCCAAACTCGACGCCTTTCAACTCCACCCCTGACGCCTTTCAACTCCAGTCGAGGACGGATCCTACGTCGAGAGCCGAGACGGCGTCGGCAGTTTTCTCGCGCAGACGGCGCTCCTTCTCGTCCTCTCGCAGGGCGCGCTGGTGACGCTGTCGTGGGCGGAGCGGAAGCTCACGGGGCGCGGAGGGAGTCGAGGCGCGAGCGGGTGGATCGACGACGCGCTGGGCGGGTTGACTACGACGACGACGACGACGACGAGACGATCCGGCGGCGGCGGCGCGGAGACGCTGCCGTTCTACAGGTATGCACTTCTGTTTCGACCGACACTGATGATGACACGTCGGAATGGTATCCACCAATCGATTACTTTCCTTCCCGCGTGCGTCATATCGCTGACACGTGTCTTCTGTCTTCCTATGTCGACCAATCATGACACGACACGTCAGCTCCGGCGTCGTCGGCTTCAGCGGCGTGAATTACGCGTTGAAGGTGGTGGCGTCGCATCGCCGGCCGCTAGGCTCGCGCGTCCTCCTCCTCGGCGTCCTCCCCGTCCCCGCGCGGTACTCGTTCTGGTGCGAGCTCGCGCTGAACACGCTGCTGATGCCCTCGAGCGGGACGTTCGCCGCGCACTTCGCCGGCTGCGTCGCGGGTTTAGGTGCGTGAGTCGGTTTCAATCCTCGACCCTGTGACGCCTTCTTTCAACGACTCTCTCCGCCATCTAACTGACGCCTTTCAACTCCGATCGATCGACTTTCATCAGTCTCCGTCTACGTCCCTCTCCTCGCGGGGGTCGGAAAAATCGGCACGGGGAGATTCGGCCGCGGCGGTGAGACTGCTTTCCATACGACCCCGTTCGCGTGGTGCACGCCGTAAC